CAGAAGCCTTATCATCTATCTGTATTTATATCCATGTATCTTACATATAAAGAAGGAATAATTTAACCCATAGTGCAGGACCTAGACTTTGTTTAGCAATTTGACTTAGTAACTTTTTTTCAAAGATTTTTATTTTTAAGTATTTTAAGTAAGCTCTACACCCAACGTGGGGTTCAAACTCACAACCCTGAGACCAAGAGTTGTAGGACTGAGCCAGCCAGGGGCCCTGACTCAGTTCCTTAATTATGGACATTTAGATAATTTCTAGACTTTTGCTATTGAAAACAATGCAATAATCCTTAAATGTACATCTTTATGAAATATGTAAATCTATTTGTAGGATAAATTCCTGATGTTAAAATTGTGGGACCATTAGGTGTGTACATTTAAAATTTTAATAGACATGGTCAAATGTGTGCTGAGCTTTTTTATACTCTGGAGAAACGAGAGGGCCTCTTTATGACAGGCATTGTGAAAAAGTGCATTCTGGTCCGGTCTGAAGGAGTAATTGTCAACATTCAAAAATAAGCTTAGGGGCACCTGAGTGGCTCAGTTAGTTAAGCATCTGCCTTCGGCTCAGGTCATGATCCCAGGGTCCTGGGATCGAGTCCCACATCGGGCTCCTGGCTCAGCGGGGAGCCTGCTTCTCCCTCTGACCCTCTCCCCTCATGCTGTTTCTCTCTCGCTCGCTCTCTAAAAAATAAATAAAATCTTTTTTTTTTTTTTTTTTTTTTTTTTTTTTTTTTTTTTTTTTAAAGATTTTATTTATTTATTTGATAGAGAGAGACACAGCGAGAGAGGGAACACAAGCAGGGGGAGTGGGAGAGGGAGAAGCAGGCCTCCCGCCGAGCAGGGAGCCCGATGTGGGGCTCGATCCCAGGACCCCGAGATCATGACCTGAGCCGAAGGCAGACGCTTAACGACTGAGCCACCCAGGCGCCCCTAAATAAAATCTTTAAAAAAAAAAAAAAGAAAGAAAGAAAGGGCTCTTAGTTACTGTAAGGAGCAAGGGACACAGAGTGGTGGTGGGGAGGAGAGGCCATTACATCACAATCCAACATAGTGCGCGGGAGTGAGGGCTGGGTGGGGATAAAGAAGGGCCATTCTGTAAATGGCACCACAAAGGTTTTTGCTGTTAATGATGAAGGGCAGCAGAATATGCCACCCCAAAATATGCCACTTTGGCATAAGGATTATTTTGAGCTAAAAGCACTTACAGAAACATCAGGTACAAGAAGGATGCTCTGACCCTGCCCCCTTTTCTTCCTAAAAGCAGGAGATGAAACCCCCACATGGAAGATATTCTCCCCATACCAGGAGGTTAAGTACCATTTTTATCATCTCTCAGAAGTTGAGGCTGAGAGAATTCCATACAAGCCGACTTTGTCAAAAGAATTCCTCTCTTCCTTTTGCCTCCCCATATATTTTAGTAACTTTTCTGCAACTGCCTTTCTTTGTTCCACGTAGTATAAAAGCATTTAGGTTCTGCCACTTCTTTCGGTCTTCATTTCCTCAGGAGGGCTCCTGGGTCACATAAAACTTAAATAAATTTGTATGCCTTTCTCTGTTAATCTGTCATATCAACCTAATTCTCAGGCCCAGTTGAAAAACCTAAGAGGTTAGAGGTAAAATTTTGCCTCCCCTGTAATGATTACACAGTGACCCTCTCAAAGCTGGAAATTTAAAGACGATAGTGTTCCTTTTGCTTTCATAAGACTACAAAGTGCCCTGGAGCAGAGAATAAGGCAAAGGCATTGGTGTTCAGATAGGGGTGAATGATCCCTCTGCTGGGTTCTGACTTAAGAATGGGGTCTATTTGGTGGGATGGTTGTGAGGGCAGGTTATTAAAAGTTGCAGCTTTACCTTCTACTTGGGTAATTGTGCATAGTAGGTGAAGTCATTTGAGTCATTTATATAAAATCAGAGACATTGGAAGGCTACATTTCCATTTTTAAAAAAAGCTGACTTTTTAAAGCATCCACTGGTTTTGCAGATGCTGAGAAATAAGCTGGTCTAACCATAAACACTTGGAAATACGAATTAACAGCAGAGTTAGAGCTTTTTATTTTTGTTATTAATTATTTACTTATTTTTAAGTAGGCTCCATACCCAGCGTGGAACCCACTGCGGGGCTTGAACTCACGATCCTGAGATCAAGACCCAAGCTGAAATCAAGAGTTGGACGGCTAACCGACTGAGCCACCCAGGTGCCCCAAGAGTGAGGGCTTTTTAAAGCAGAGTCGATAAGTAAGCAGCAAAGATGGATAGTGCCCACAAGGTATTCCAACTTATAAAGCTTTGGGGCAGGGTGTTCAAGAGTCCCTGAGCTCAACCAGTCGTACAATGCAAAGTAATGGAAGAATGTGTGTTCCATCCAGACTCGGCATTCTGAGGGTCACAACTTTTCACTGAATTTTTTATGCTAATTTAGGTTACTATTTGTGATCGGTCACATTTTCAGATGCATTGATTTGTATTTATTTAGAACCCAGGAATGAGAATGAGCATGGCTTGATTGGGCTAGGGAAAGCACACCCGGAGTATGATTTTGCCAGGATCATGCACTGAGCTGTAGACCTGTCGCATCACCTCATTCAACCCTCATATCACCGTGTGCTATACTTCTGATTACCTCCATTCTATGGATGAGAAAACTGAGGCTCAAAGAATTTGTTCCAGGTCACTTAGCGAGTAAGTTGTGCAGCCAGAATCTGAATCTAGGGAGGGCCCTAATAACCCATTTGGACTCCATTATACAGTTTGTAATTCTACAGTTTTACAGTCCTTTTAGGTTCTGAACTGGGGAACGGCTTGATGAGAATGAACAGAAGGAAGAGCTGCCTGGTGGCTTAGTACAGGATTCACAGAGGGAGGAAAGAACGGGAGTGCCGCCAAGACATCAGATGGAAGGTTGTGGCAGCAAGGCCTGCCCTGGAGATGGAGGGACCAGAGTCTGGAACTAGAAAACTTGGTTCCAGCCTAGTCTCTACCATGATGCTGCTAAGGGGAACCGAACCACCTCTCCCAAGTTACAGCCACATCTCAGTAAGGAAAACTTGTTACTCCTCCCTAAATAAAGCTTGATAAGTTGAGACTAGAAAATCTCTCAGTTCTTTCAAATTCTAAAATTCTGCCTGCTGCCTTTAAATTTTAATGCATTCTAAAGATTTATATATGAAGGCCCCAAATGTCATCCAGAATCCAGAAAAGAATTTAGATGAAATGATTCTCAACATAATCTTCTCAAAGTACAAAGGAATAGAATTTTTAATAATTCTAAGAACGGTTTCTAAGCATACTTTCTAAACCTGATTATATTGAGACAAACCAATCATTTCTGCATCTCACTGTGTAAGAATATGATTTTTTGGGGGAAAAAACATGATTTGGGTATTGCTACTGCAGCAGTGGTTGATGATATTAAAATCAAATAAATATATTACTCTTGAAACAAATGAAGTTATTTAAACCTATCTCTCTAAGAAATTTATGAAAATATACCTAGGAGGCACAAATTATCATCAAATTAATTTGTTTTCTAAGCTCAAATTTAATTTAAAATGTGATATTTCTTCAACTGGTTTAATCAACAGACTTTAAAGGGATTTTAGATAGAGAACACAGGAAATAAATATAATAACGTTGGAGCAAATAATCAACGAAATAGTTGTTCTGTGTTCTGTTACTGTGATGCTTCTAGAAAGTATTTTTAACAACTCCCTGAAGAACTGGCTCTTGCTGGTGTGAAGCCAGGCTCTTCTCTCCGCTCACATCTGCAAACTTTTCTCCATCCTCATATCCAATAACAAATCCATTTTCAAGTCCTGCTGAGTCCTTGGTCTCAGTGTTTCTCAAAACTGACCCTTTCTCAAAAAAAAAAAAAAAAAAAGGAGAGAAATAAAGAAAGAACTGACCCTTCCTCATGTACAAAGATTTGGGGGTGGGGTTCCCAGTCCTGCGTTGCAAAAATGGTCTTCTGCATAGAATAAACTAAAGGGCAAAAGAATCTTTCTGATTAGAGCTTTCATCAAGCCATTTCTATTATTAAAATCTTCAGGCATCCCGTTACTTAGTCTTTGAAATCTAAATTCTGCTCTCGAGATCCGGGTCCTCTGAGCCAAGCAAATGCATTAGCTTTCTTTAGAGACTTTAATCCTTTACATCTGAGATTCGGCTATTTGGAATGCTTTCTGCTCTTTCTCTCTGCCAGCTCATGACCATCACCTCCTTCCATTCTATCTTGAAACTCATTTCCTTGAGGATGTTTTCCTGGTTTAGTAGCTACTTTGCAAATAAACAACTTTTGTTTTTGAGCTTTTAATCACATTAAGTGCTTTTAAGATAAGTTATCCAAGTCAAGGGATAAACAACATATAGAGATTTCCATTCTTTAAGAAACCACCCAGAGTGATTTTACTTTGAGAGGAAGGACAGCACTTCAATTTTTAGGTGTCTGCTTTTTAGCTAGGAATCCGCAATAGAATCAAAGCAAAATGACTCTTTATGGTGACCTCTAGTGGGCACGGGACAATCCTACAAAATTATGAAAAGTGAAGGGCAAAGTAAAACCCTCCCCAGTAACCAGCTGGGTTACTCTGAGGTCAGATGACCGCATCCCATCCCACCCCACCCCTATTCTTCCTTCCAGCATTTGTTTTGCATTTAACATAATTTGCCTTACAACTCACCTGTTTCGTCTCTGGCGGGCACCGCGCGGGCTGGGCTGCCGGTGTCGGATGTCGTGTGAATTGATGGTAGCAGTTTAAAATAATCCCTGCCAACGGAACCCACTCCCTGGGCATCGACCGGAGCTCCGGGCAGTTCGCCCTGAGAAGCCTTAAAGGGCTTTTCGAGCTCCGAGAGCCAGTGCTGCAGTCGGCTCTGGGGTGCATCGGGGAAATCAAGACATAATGAAAAGGAGGACGCAGACGAAGGCTACGGGAAAATTCTGTTCTTGCCAGTGGCAGAGCGATTCTCCCCGCTTTCACCCACTCTACAGGAAGCGTCACGGCGGGGGGGGGGGGGGTCCAGGCGCGCTACACGAAGGCGCCCTTTTAGGACCCGCGCCCCAGAAAGCAGGGGCTGGGGCCGCTCCACCCCCCCCGCCCCCGGGAGGACAGACGGGAGGGCGACACCGAGCCTGGGTGCTGGGGTGTGTGGCCGCCTTCGGAGCACGCGGTACGTGGGTCTCCGCGCCGCGGGAGGAGAAGCAAGTCGGCAAGAAAAGCAATTGCTGGGGTGCCTTCTCTGAGAAATTCCTTAGGGCGGTCTCAGAAACCGAGCTAGGTTCCGGATAGTTTCTGGAAAAAGCTCTCCAAACGCCGTCTGTCCCCGCCCCTCAAATCCTGCACCCCAGTCCTCACCCCTCCTTACTCTTCGGTCGCTTCCCTTTTGGGGGGCTGTTAAATAAAGGGCCCCTGGGAGCTGCCCAAGTCACCCCTGATGGCCCGGGGCGGCACGCGGGAACAGGCACCCTGGCCGCGGGGCTTTGCCCCCGCCCCAGGGCTCCCCATTGCTCCCTTCCCCTCCCCGCGGACCCCTCCTGGCCGCGGCGGGCGGGAGCGGAGGGGGAGGGCGGCGTCACGGGGCGGGGAGCCCGAGGTCCAGGGCGGGGCGCCGGGGAATCCCAGCCGAGCGAGCCCGGGAGGTGCGGGCGCGGGTGGGAAGAGGAGGGCGGCGCGGGGAGGGAGGTGAGCCGTGCGGAGCTGGGAGGCGAGGAGGGGGAACCGCGAGGAGGCCCCGCCCCCGCCTCGCGGAGCCGGCTCTCCGCCGCCTCCGAACCCGCTCACTTTGCCTCTCGCCTCTGGACGGCGGCGGGGCGGTTGCCGGAGCGGCGGCCAGAGGGAGCGCCGGGGACGGGGAGCCATCCCGCACCCGCGCCTCCTCCCGGCGCCCGCGCCCCTCGGGGGGGGGGGCCGCGCCACCGTTTGAAAGGACACCCCGGCCTCACAGGGGGCATCCCCGGGCGCTGACAGCCTCGTTCCCGGCCAGTGGGCGCGCAGCGTTGGCGCCTGAGGGGACTCCCCGGCCACCTGCAGGTGCCACCGCGCCGAGGGAGCGTCGCTAGCAGCAACGCTGGGCCGCCGAGGACGCTAGAGCCGAGGGGGGTCTCCGGGCCAGCGAAGGGCAGGAGCAGAGCCCGCAGCCAGAGCCGGCCCGCCAGCCCGCTGGCCCCGACGGCGCGCTCCCCCATCGGCCAACGGCAGCCAGGCCCCGCGCGGCGGCCGGGGGTGGGGGGCGGCGGCGGCGGCGGCCTCGGGCCTCGGGGCTTCGGGGCGGCCAGCCATGACCTTCGGGCGCAGCGGGGCGGCCTCGGTGGTGCTGAACGTGGGCGGCGCCCGGTACTCGCTGTCCCGGGAGCTGCTGAAGGACTTCCCGCTGCGCCGCGTGAGCCGGCTGCACGGCTGCCGCTCGGAGCGCGACGTGCTCGAGGTGTGCGACGACTACGACCGCGAGCGCAACGAGTACTTCTTCGACCGGCACTCGGAGGCCTTCGGCTTCATCCTGCTCTACGTGCGCGGCCACGGCAAGCTGCGCTTCGCGCCGCGGATGTGCGAGCTCTCCTTCTACAACGAGATGATCTACTGGGGCCTGGAGGGCGCGCACCTAGAGTACTGCTGCCAGCGCCGCCTCGACGACCGCATGTCCGACACCTACACCTTCTACTCGGCCGAGGAGCCGGGCGCGCTGGGCCGCGACGAGGCGCGACCCGGCGGTGCCGAGGCGGCCCCCTCCAGGCGCTGGCTCGAGCGCATGCGGCGGACCTTCGAGGAGCCTACGTCGTCGCTGGCCGCGCAGATCCTGGCCACCGTGTCGGTCGTGTTCGTGATCGTGTCCATGGTGGTGCTGTGCGCCAGCACGCTGCCTGACTGGCGAGCCGCGGCGGCCGACAACCGCAGCCTGGATGACCGGAGCAGGTACTCCGCCGGCCCTGGGAGGGAGCCCTCCGGGTAGGACGCACTGCTTCTCTGCCCGTCCCGTCCGTCCTGTCGCGTCTGTCCGTTCCGTCCGTCGGTCGCGTCTCCGTCCTGTTTGCCTCCGGGCTGCCGGGCCAGGCCGGGTTCCGGGCCCAGCGAGGCCAGCCAGGGGACGGGTTGGCCCTCACTTCGCACTCCTATTTTCCTGGCACCAGGCGGCTGGGGTCGGTACAGTAGGCTCTCCTCTTGAGGGCGAATCGCCAGGCATGGGGAGGGGCAGGTAGAGAGAAACGAGCCTCCCATCTTTTAGTTTACTTTTGAGCAAATAGAAACCAGTTAACTAGATGTCCCTAAACTTTTATTGTTCGTATTCAACAATTTAACCTTGGGCTAAGAGCAACTTGAATTGTTTGCCAATTTTTGGTGGTGTTTGAAAAGATGAAGTTGGTTATAGTGAAATATGGCCTACTATATGCAGGCCACACATTGTATACACTTTGCATAATATGCACTTTAATGGAATTATTAGATTCTAAAGGAGATTAACTTAACGATAGACTCTAAATAATGGATGTCTGTGCCCTTTTCTCTTTTCTTTTCCAATGGAGTTAGCAAAGCACCTGTCCATCGTTTGGTACGAAAGATACACACTGTGACTTTCAGAAGGATCTTCAGTATGGGGAGGGAAAAAATCACTACCTTGGAAAAGAAGAAACATTTAAACTGCCTCAAATCCTGAAACAGTATTAGTTAATAGTTTTTTCTTTTCAGTTTATTTAGGATGAAAGGAAAATATTTTATTTTTTTTATTTTTATTATTATTTTTTAAAGGTTTTATTTATGTATTTGACAGAGCGAGACAGAGAGAGAGGGGACACAAACAGGGGGAGTGGGAGAGGAAGAAGCAGGCCTCCCGCAGAGCAGGGAGCCCGATGCGGGGCTGGATCCCAGGACCCTGGGATCATGACCTGGGCCACCCAGGCGCCCCGAAAGGAAAATATTTTAATCTTTACTTCTATTGTGTTTACCCTTCGATAGAGATAATATACTTCTGTTTTTAGTACTGGTGAGTTTATTTTGCATGTTTGGTAGGAAGAATAAACAGTAAAGTTGGATTTCAAGGGAGACAGTCTCTTTGAGCCCAAACACAAAATTGTATATTGTTTTACTTTTGATGCTGTTTTTTAAATTTTTTATTCACTTAAAAATTTTTTTATTTATCTGAGAGAGAGAGAGAGCACAAGTGTGGGGAGAGGCAGAGGGAGAGGGACAAGCAGATTCTCGGCTGAGCAGGGAGCCCCATGTGGGCCTCCATCCCACAACACTGAGATACCACGACCTGAGCCGAAGGCAGACACTTAACCAACAGAGCCACCCAGGTGCCCCTTGGATACTGTTTTAAGAGGCCCCCCTCCATTCATTTTTATTGGTTTTATTTATTTATTTTTCCTCCATTCATTTTTTTTTTAAGATTTTTTATTTATTCATTTGAGACAGAGAGATAGAGAGAGAGAGAGAGTAGGAGCAGTGGGGAGAGGTGGAGGGAGAGGGAGAAGCAGACTCCCCACTGAGCAGGGAGCCTGATGCGGGGCTCGATCCCAGGACCTGGAGATCATGACCTGAGCTGAAGGCAGACGCTTAACGACTGAGCCACCCAGGCGCCCCTCCTCCATTCATTTTTAAAATTAGGTTGTGCCTGATAATCTTTTCCTGATAGACATGTGCATGTTTCCAATGATACTATGTGTCTTGAGGTTGCAGTGCATTACTTACACATAATATTCTTCCTTTGGAGAGTGAAGATTGTTTTTTAATCTAAGAGGTAAATAAAATTGTCTAGTTCCACAGAGTCCATTACTAATATATTGATATCTTGGCATGAAATCCAAGATACATGCTTTAAAAGGAAATTCATTAGTAAAGTAATTTTGTTTAATGTATTATGTTCTGAGTTTTTGATTTACAGATAAGAATTACTTATTTAGTATTCCATCAGTACAATGAAATGAATTTATTTATCTAAATACATAAGTGCCCTTGATTCTTTTAGAGGACCATAGGAAAATGAGCCATAACTCGCCTTGAAATGATTCACTAGTAATTGTGGAATTCTAAGGTTAGTGAAAGTTCAAGCTACATTAGCAAAGGAAACAGGAGAATTGAGTTAGACTTCCCGGGACTGCAAAAGAAGTGAAGGAAGAAGAGGAATGCTTGATTTGTGTGTATGTATTTTACATATGCATGTAATTACCCAAGTCAGAACTGTTTCCTAGATACCCAGATATTTCAGGCAAAAGCACATTTTTCTTGGCTTAAAGGTCCTGTTTTAAGGTTTACTCTCCAAGTGTAGGTATATGAAAACCAACCTCTGTAATCCCAAACAGATAAGATGGATGGGTGAGCAGCTGAGGAGGCTGGAAGTCACAGAGGGAGCCTCCCGTAGGCCTCCTCCAGCTGATAGGGCCTCTGCACTGGCACTTTGGCAATAGTCTCTCAAACCCTGCTTGCTTGTGGTTGCTGAAATTAGTCTTTTTAAAACATCATTCTGATCATCTGACCATATTTGGCATCTACCAGATAAAGCCAAAACTTTTTTCTTGGCTTTTAAGGCTCTTTATGGTTTCCCCCCAGTCTGCCTTTCTTTTTTTCCCTCTTTTCTTTTTTAAAAAAGATTTTATTTATTTATTTGACACACAGAGAGAGAACAAGCAGAGGGAGCAGCAGAGGGAAAGGGAGAAGCAGGCTCCATGTTGAGCAGGGAGCCAGATGTGGGCTCGATCCCAGGACCCTGGGATCATGAGCTGAGCCGAAGGCAGACGCTTAACTGACTGAGCCACCCAGGTGCCCCCACAATCTGCCTTTCTTGACTTATCCTGTCATCATTTGCAAGCATCTTTTTTGAGTATCTACTGTGTTCAAGGCACTGTTGGTATTCCAAATACTGTAACATTTTTTTTTTTAAATAAAGAAATGGTGTTAAGTTGGTGATACAGGAATCAGAGGCACAACTGATCAACAAATGAATTGTTCTGGGACACAATTTGGCCTTGAAAGTGGAGGAGGAGGCGGATGGAAACAAGTCATCTTTGGAAGGTTGCAGAGGTTGTATACTGCCCAACAGTGGTGGTGGTGGGGTGTCATTTATATGAACTGTAGTGTTCACAATCTTTACAACTATGTGTGCCCCGCCTGAGAACATAATAAGGAATATTTTCCAGGTAAAAGGAAGAGCAAGGGCATAGGCATGAAATTAGCATATTAGAGAGCGTGAGTCCAGTGATGGAGTGAGAGGTGGATAGAGAGCAGATGTTAGAAGGCCTCGAATGAGAAAGAGAATGATTTTATTTGTAGGCAGTAGTTAGCTGTTGGCACATTTGAGGTGAGTGGGTTATGCATATAAAATAACAAATGTCATGAGTTCTGTACTGTGAATTGGGATGGTGAAGATGGGAAACAGGAGGATGAGTTTGGAGATCTTTGCAGAGGGAGGGAATGAGGGTGTGGGTTGTATTGAGGTGGTTAGAATGGAGAAGAAATGACCACTCTGGGAAATATTAGGAAGACTCATAATTAATCCAGGGCATTGGAAGGATACAGGCAGGCGTCAGGGACTGATTACCTGGGCTTCCAGGAGCTAGGAACACTGCTGACCACTTGCAGCCTCTGTTTGTCCAGACTGGTCTGCTCATTTGTTCCTGAACCACTCCAGTGTTCCTTACTGTGCAGTCCCTTGCCTATTGAAATTGGATCATCCATCAAGCCCAACTGAGATTCTGTTTCTTTTTTGAAGCTTTTCCTGCCTACCTTAGTAGATGTGATGTTTTCTTTGAATTTCTTGAGGGATTGCTTATTTGTACTATGTATTTACTGTCTATAATATCCTTCCTAGCATGATAGTCATTTTTTCATATAAACATGTCCTAGCTCCTAAACTAGATGAGACGAAAAGCCCTAGAAGGCAGCTAAATTCTCCTATACTATTTATTATGACAGCATCTTTTAGAAAAAAATTATTATTCTGGCACAATAAATTGTACTGTTTATATTACAATTTAGAATATAACCTTCCAGGAATATATCTTCTGTTGCATAAATTGAAGAGCTGTGTGACGTAAGGCCTTGGACTTCAGCTGGTGGAACTCTTAGTTGAGGAGGATGGGATCTTGTGCTAGAAATGAGGAAAAAAAGTCTTTTAAATCAAAGAATGATTATCAGGTACTGATTGTGGAAAAGGAATAAAGACAAGCATAGCATTTTTTTCATTAAACTTTGAAATTTTAGAATAGCACAGAATCTCAAGTTTGGAAGAAATCTTGAGAGGTCTTCCAGATCAATAATTTGAAAGCTTTTTGTGTAGGAATATGACCCTTTTAAATTGGTATGTTCTGAGGGTTAATAATCATATAAATAACGGTTTAAAGTCCAAAAGCTACACAAGCAAGCCTTTCTCCATCTCCTGCGTATTTAGTTCTTTTCCCTAGATGTAACCAAAGTTGTTTGTATTTTGTGTGTCATTTTAGAGACATGCAATGTATTTGCAAGCATATCATATATATTTACAGAACCACAACAACAAAACCAGTGTAATAATACTGTCCTGAAACTGGCTTTTAAACTAACCAACATGCCATGGAGCTTGTTCTGTATGAGTCTATAAAGAGCTACCAAATTCTTTTATGCAGCTGCATAATAGTCCACTGTATGAATGTCCCATAGCTTTTGGACATTTATGTTGTCTCATCTATAGAAATGCTTTAGTGAATATCCTGTATGTGTACATTATTTTTGCCTTTGCCCATAGGATAAATTCCTGAAAGTTAAGACATAGGCTCAAAGGGCTTGTGCATTTGTAATTTGCATAGATAATTCCAAATTGTTCTCCAAAAAGATGTCATTTTATGCTCCTGCCAGCAATGTGTGGGAGGACATGCTTTTTCAAATGCCATAAGTGTTGTGATACTTCTGATTTTTTTTTTTTTTGATACTTCTGATCTTTACCA